TTGGGTGCAGTGCCCACTGCTCGGCTGGCTTCGCAGTCGTCGTCTTTGGATCTAGGGTGTCCTAAGGTGAGCTCCTTTGGCCGTGTCCAGGGTGTTTCTGGAAAGATCAGGACAGGCACTCTGACTGGGAACGGATATCGAGCGACTAAAGTTGGGGACCGCGTCCATTTTGTTCATCGTCTTGTGGCGGGGGCATTTCTTGGGTCTCCCCCAACACCACAACATTATCATGTGAACCACAAGGATGAAATCAAGACGAATAACCATGTGACTAAATTAGAGTGGGCTACGCCTTCAGAGAATGTACTTCATTCATTCCTCATCAACCCAGATCGGAAAACTGGTGGGCGGCTGAGCTCCAGGCCAGTGTTGGGCAGCTTAGTTGGGACACTTGCTTGGGCCCGGTATTCCTCGATGTCTGAAGCTGCGCGGCAATTGAGCGTACATGCCTCATCAATTTCACGATGTTGTTCAGGTTCTTGAAGCAAATTAGCAAATACGAGTTTAGGTACGAAGATTCTGATGCATTGGAACAGATTCTTGGAGAGGAGTGGAGGCAAGCAGTGCATCCAGACACAGGAGAAGTTCTGACGAACTGGATGGTCAGCTCTGAGGGCCGTGTGAAGCCTTCGACGACCCGTGTAGGCTTGGGCAGTCGATGTGCCGATCGGTATTTCAGGGTGTGTGCACATTCTTGTTCGATATATGTGCATAGACTCGTGGCTCGCACTTTCATCGGCCCACCGCCAGATCCGGCACGCAATAAGGTTAACCACACCGATAGCAACCCGGGGAATAATCGAGTATGCAATTTGCAGTGGGTTTCACTGAGAGAGAATCTCAGTCATTCTTTCGCAACAAACATGACACGAATCAGGGGCCCACTCTCGACCTCTCATGCTGTCTTTGCACAGCATGCGATCACGAATGAAACGGCATGGTACCCGTCTATAGCTGAAGTTGCGCGACGCCTCAATTTGAACAGTGGACGCATTAGCGCGTGTTGTAGCGGGAAGATTGCAAAGTTTCGCGGTTACACCTTTCGGCTCGCTGATCCAGTTCCCAATCTCTTGCCTGGTGAAGGGTGGCGACCCATAAAGCTTGACATAGCACGCTAGGGTTTCCCATTGGGCAGCGATGCTTTCAGGCAGTCCTCAGAGCCTTTGCAGCAGGGTGGCGTGCACCCCCCCAAGAAAAAACATGAAAACATATGTCCACGCAAGCAGCGCATTGCATGGCTTATCGTGGCATGAAAGAAGTTAGAATAGCACTGCACAGCATAGCATGGTATAGGATGGCACTGCTTTCCATACGGTAGCCTGGAGGCAAGACAATATTTGGGCCCTATGGGGCAGTCTCGGGCAATCTTAGAGCCATCTGGACGCGATTGGGCCATTTTGGCCGTCTTGGGGGCGTCTTGGGATTGTTTTGGACGCACAATTGGGCCATCTTGGCAATCTTGGCCGTCGGGGAGTGCGCGCACAGCATACGTGATAGTGATGTTGTTGCATATTGTTGCGCAGCTCTTCGATCTCACTCGTCTCCCGATAACGATGTAAGAAATGGGAGAAGTGCTTATCATAGCAAAATAATGTGCTGGAGACATTTATGCAAATCTTATTATCGAAGGTTTTCCAAACGCAGAAGGTCACTACACACATGGTGTCGGAATGTGTCTTTCTTTGCAGATCTCCCTGAAATCGTGTTACATTATGTTTGACTTCGGTGGAGCGTCCGACAGATGCTGCTTTTCCCATCATCCCGGTCGCCTCCACATTCATCATCATCTCCATTCCTCACAGTTCTTGCTCATATTTCCCACTTCATCCCACCCGTTCACACTCAGCCTCACTCCACTCCAGTCTATTCCACCACCCCTCATTGCGTCGTACTTCTTCCACTTTCCGGAAATAGGAGAGGTGAGATGAGCGGAAATTGGAGAGGAGAGAGAGAGGAAGGGCGAGAGGATGGCAGAGGAAAGGAAAGAGGCTAGCACAGGAAGGAGAAAAGGAAAAACTGGACCCAGAAAGATTAAGCGAAGGAGAAACAAAAATTGAACCCTGGCTGAGGCCCCGGGCCAGCCTTCGGTGCGGCTGGCCCACAGTAAGCGGATCGCGATGCCAGTGTTTTGTTTTGTGGGTCGTGACTTCATCTAGGAAGTAAGGGAGGAGAGAGAGAGGGAAAGCAGAGGAAAGGAGAGAGCATAGGAAGGAGGGAGGAGGAGGAGGAGAAGGAGGAGGAGGATGAGGAGGTGGAGAAGGAGGAGGAGGAGGAGGAGCAGGAGGAGGAGGAGGAGCAGGAGGAGGAGGAGGAGGAGAACCTGAACCCAGGAAAAGAAAAATGGAGGAGAGACAGAATTCAGGCCGGCTTCCCCGGGCCGTCCCGGGGTGTTGCTGGCCCGGGGGCAGCTGGAGTGCGATGCGACTGTTCTGTGGGTTGTGCTTGCGAAGCCTTGAAGGACGATGACGACGACGACGACGACGACGACGACGACGACGACGACGACGACGACGACGACGACGACGACGACGACGCCGACGCCGACGCCGACGCCGACGCCGACGCCGACGCCGACGCCGACGCCAACGCCAACGCCGACGCCGACGCCGACGCGGGCGCAGACACCGACGACGATTCCGACGCCGACGCCGACGCCGACGACGTTGTATCGTGATTTCGTTCTCTTCCGTCCCCGAGCACAGCGTGTTGCCGGCATCGCCGCTTGGAAGCTCACTCTGGGCGCACCCGCTCGTTCTCAGAGCGCAGCGCTCCGCCAGCGCTGCAGCGCTGCTGCCAGGAAGCTCGCTCCGAGCGCGCCCGCTCGCGACCCGCTCACATCGCGCTGCCAGCGTCGATGCCAAGAAGCACACTCCCAGCGCGATCGCGGCGCACTTCGCACTGCCAGCGCTTTCGACAAAAGGTTACGGGGCCACCTCGTTCCCAACGCACACAACGTTACCAGCGTTGTCGTTAGAAGCCTGGAAACTCCGAGCGCGCCCGCTCGCGGCCAACCCACATCAATCGCGTTGCCAGCATTGGTTGCAGGAGTCTCACTCCAAACGGGTCCGCCCGCAACCACTGCACATCGCAGCGCCAGCGCCGCTTGCAGGAAGCTCACTATAGCTTGCCAGCTCGCTCGCGGCTCAAAACGCGTCGCCAGCGCTGTTGCCAGGAGGCTCACTCTGAACACCTCCGCTCGCACCCCGTCCGCATCGCGTTGCCACTCCGAGCGCGCCCGCTCGCTCCCACAGCACATTGCGCTGCCAGTTGCCGGTGCTGTTGCCAGACTGCGCGGCCGGCCCCGCTTGCCAGCGCACCTGGGCTTGCCAACCCAGGCAGCGCAGCCAGCCCAGCTGGCCCTCTTGACCTCCGCAGTCCCGCCAGCCTAGCTCACCTGGACAGCGCAACCAGCACGAGTCATGTGCGTCCGCGGCGCGGTCCTCGTCGTTGGGGCCCTCCTAGGGTCATGGCACGCGCGGAGCACTTGTGCAGCGCGTAGCCAGAATCAGTTGCAAGCTGGAACAGAGCAGGAGGGAGGAAGGCAGACGCGCACACTTTTTTCGTCGGCGGCGAGGCAGAGGCGGTCCGCTCCAGCGTGTGGCAATTCGGGGCAACCGAATGGTTAATTGGCCAGCATGCAGGAGAGTGACAAGGAGCAGACGCGCACACAGGCACGCGCATTTTTAATCGCTGGGGAGTCTTGCGCATGCTTCGCGCACTCAACCCGATGTGCGGGCGGCCCAGCACATGCGGCGTCCCTTCGTGGGGACTGCAGCCGGCCGGGCGCGCGCGACAGCTCACATAATAGGTGTGAATGCAAGAAGCGAGGACTCCTCGAGGACCGTCGGTGTCAGTGTGTAGCAGCGCTCTCGACTGGTGTCGCCCTTGGGCACCAACATTCCTCTTAAATTGATTGGTTGTTCGATCGAATCATGATCCCGGGCGATCGACGTCGAAGCAGATGGATCCTGGATCGGTCGATCGATCCGTGTCAGCTTCGAACACAGACAAAATTCGTCGGTCTGTTGAGCACGAGTGTACGTAGCGTGTCCTCCCCATCGTGTATATCCTCCCCCGCCTCCTCCTCCTCCTCCTCCTCCTCCTCCTCCTCCTCCTCCTCCTCCTCCTCCTCCTCCTCCTCTATTATCGAGCACTTTTCGTATTTGACAGTTGTAGAGATCCGTAGTCGGTGGTCGCGAATATTCAAGTCTAATGTTTTTGTTTATGTGCAAGTGCCGAGCTGCACCTGCAGGGCATCGCCACCCACACACCCCAATTGTGACTCGTCAGTCGGCCAGCTGGTGGCCTGGCACACCGCTCGTGGTGGTATCGGAAGCCTGAGTCTTGGCGGCGCTTCATGAACTTCCCTTGTGGACTATGGGATATGCAGGAGGGTTAGCGGGGAGAAGGAAAAGAGGGAGGGGAGAGGAGTGGACGGGGGGCGGTCGACGAACCCCACCTACGGCCCTCCATGTTGCGCCACGGCCCACCGGGCGCCGTAGCGTATACCACTCAAAGGTCCACTCCAGATCTCTTGGTTTTACGCTAAGCACCGTGGGGCCGTAGGTGTTCGGACTGATTAACATGAGAACTGATGCTTGACCGCCGTTTTTTTCGAAACGTTAATTACTGCTATCGATTCTAATTTTCGCCGCCCGTTTAATTTACGATATCGAGTATTCTGTAGTGTTTCCGGTGTGATATCCGCTGAGCACCGCGGGGCCGTAGGTGGGGTGGTGCCGTTTGTTCTCTGGTCCGGGCAGACGGCGGAGGGAGGGCACGGACACTGAGACCAGTTTCCTCCTACCCGGCAGTGCGGGGGCTCGAGGGCAGGGACATTGAGACCAGTTTCTTCCTACCAGTTTCCTCCTACCCAGGAGGGAGGGCAGGGACCATTGACGGGCTTGATGGGGGTGAGTTCTTTGATGCCCGTCGATGCCCTGACCGCTGACCCCTTTGGTGGCTCGTCATGAGCTCTTGCCATCGGCCAGCGACCGCAGGTCTACGAGACGATCGGTGGCATATGGAACCTTTCCTCTGACCAGGCCGAGCGGAGGAAGTGGACGAGGAACTGGGAGGAGGAGAAGGAGGGATGAAGGAAGAGAAGGAGGAGGAGAAGGAGGAGGAACAGGAGGAGGAGGCGAAGGTCGCAGGGAAGAGAAGAAGGAGGAGGAAGAGGAGGAGAGAGAAGAGAGAGGAAGGGTAGTAGCAATAGAAGAAGAAGTAGTAGCAGTAGCAGTAGCAGTAGCAGTAGCAGTAGCACTAGCAGTAGCAGTAGCAGTAGCAGTAGTGGTAGTGGTAGTGGTAGTGGTAGTGGTAGTAGTAGTAGTAGTAGTAGTAGTAGTAGTAGTAGTAGTAGTAGTAGTAGTAGTAGTAGTAGTAGTAGTAGTAGTAGTAGTATTAGTAGTAGTAGTAGTACTAGTAGTAGTAGTAGTAGTAGTAGTAGTAGTAGTAGTAGTAGTAGTAGGAGTAGTAGTAGTAGTACTAAGTAGTAGTAGTATGAGTAGTAGTAGTAGTAGTAGTAGTAGTAGTAGTAGTAGTAGTAGTAGTAGTAGTAGTAGTAGT